CTGCCCCTCCGAGGAGACCGCAGGCCCGTCGAGCCAAGTTCACTGGTGGAGTCAGCGAGGAAAAAGCTTCTGCAAGGGCTCCCTTTTGGGGTCTCGAGAAGGGGTACCGCAGGGTGCAGGCGCGGGGGTAAGGTTTCAACGGCAAGGCGACAAGTCAGGCAGCTGGCCCAAGCGGGCAGCGGGGAATCCTAGGTGCACACAGCCTTTTTATTTTTATTTTTTACTTTTGGGGAGGGAGGAATAGCGGAGTGAGAAACCAACGATGAAGGAGTGCGAACGGGGGTCGGAACTGGCCTCCCGTCGTTCCCGGGGGCCCACAGCCGGCCATCTGAGGACCCAAGAGGAAGGTGTCCCGGATCCGCGTCCGGTAGGCCCGCAGCTTCGGGGAGGAGCCGTTGGCCAGGCGGAGGGGAAGGGCCTTACCGCTTGAAATCCCGCATGAGCCTCCTCCGGGCGGGGGTCGACATGCTCCACAGCTGCCCCGCGGTCCGTCTGAAAGAAAAGAGTCCCGCGCAGCCCCCCCACCCCCCGGCGCGGCGGTCGAATCACTGCGGGTCACCGCCACGGAGGCTGCACAAACAACCCCGCAATGACGTCTCCCTCCGCCGCCTCCAGATCCCTCCGCCCTCCGCCAGTACCACGGCACGAGGGGGGGAGGGAAGGGGGAGGGGCACGGGTGAGAGCTCCTGGGGTAGCTTTTCAACAAGGTCCTGCCATTCGTGCTCCCTGAACTAATTGGAAAATGAGTATTCTCTGTGTTCAGACTAGATATTGTGGGTTAGGAGACAACAAAGCCGAAACACCACCCAGATGCATTCCCTTTCACTAGGTTAGGTCCGACCGAGTAGGGAGAGGGGGACGCAAGCGGGTTGGAGATTTCAGGCGAAGGAGGTGGGATGACGTAAGGTCACGTGATCTACCGGCGGCGATGTCAACAATCCACCCCTGAGGGGGAGGTGGCGAAGTATCCAGAACCACGTGCCCCTATGACGTGATTAGAACTGGTAAAGCCAGAGCTACGCTGCACCTGAGTCTCGGCCAGGTATTTGAAGCAGGTAGTTAAACTGACCGGATGGGCATACACCTGTATTAGTTTTCCAAACATTTGGTCCCATGAACAGGGAGGGCAATGGGAGAGGAAGAGGTTCTGGGCAGCGAAGTATGTTTTGCCTACGTCTCTTTAACACAGAGCTAAAAATAATTTGGAATTGTAATCTCCTTTGGTTGGTTCAAAAGCTTATCAAATCTAGTACATAAAGTGATGGGACCACCATTTTTTAATTTTATTTTTATTGCGGTATTGAATGCTGAGACCCATACAAAGTAAAATCCCCTGAATACAAAGTAAAATCTTCCTTAGGGGCACCAAATTGCCTGTGTGTGCATTGCAGTGGGGTTTCCAGGGTTGGAAATTATGGGCAAAGGTAAAAAAATGGTGTAGATTCAGATCTGGGGAACAGATCATGGCGACATGGATAGGGATTTTATATCTAGCCTAGATAACTCATTTCAGGTCTTCCACACTAGCTTTTTTGATGCAGGTGCACCAGAAATGCTCCCCACAGCTTCAGGGAGGGCGGGGGAAGGGTGGGAGAGCAGCTCAAAGTTACTGAGCCTTGTAGAGGACCCTGAACTTTTTCATATATATTAGGGTAATTCTTCAGCCCAAACCAGAATGAGAGGATAGGATGAGGTCCTTCGCATTGCCCCCAACTGCCCATAGTTCAATGGAACTAGAGAGGGTTAACTTTCCCCACTTTCCTAGTATCTCCTGGACAAAAAAAGGAGGCACATACTAAAACCGACAAACTTAGGGGAGGCCTGCATGGAAAGCTTTACAAGCTCAGAGACCTAAAGTAGCCATATAGGATGGTCTGAAATGAAAACTTCCTAACTAAAAGGGAGTCATGGAAGGTAGTCATGTCCTATTGTCTTTTTGCATCTATGATAACATACCTTTGTTATGTCAGAGTAATCCTCTTTTTTCCAGACCCCTGGGGCATAATCTCGCACCAGAACTTGAGACCACTGAACCCCTGTTGTTATCTTTTCTCCACATACCATGATAAGTGTTCATTATCCTGAACCCACCAATGTAAAAGAAGTATTTGAGTCTCTGGTATACTTTTTATCCAATTTCAGAGATTTCCTCGATCTGAGTTCCACCATCTCCCTAATCATTGGATTTCATATAACCCCCTTACATCTTCTCCTTTGATTCTGATGTATAAAATAAATGCTAAAACTGCCATTTTTTTTTCGGGAGCACTTTCTCAATCTGATAAGAGATTTTGTTTCCTGGCAATTGTCGGTTTGGCTCAAGTAAATTCATAAAAATTCTATACAGGTTTGGATGTTTCTTATGTCAACACTCCCTTTTTTCAAACCCTGACTATCTCTTGCTTTTAGTAACTGCCTTTGTGATCAAGTTAGCCAGACCTAACTTTTGATAGGTCCTGCTGTGCATTCACAAACGTGATTCTCTAAATCAAAAGCTGAATATCCTTATTTTTACTTTTTTGCCTTCCTGTCATAGCAATCCTAATCCTCCCAATACCAAGGATGAAGACACACTGGTAGGGTTACATGAAATGAAATACTACAGAGAAACTTCAAAAAAAAAAAGAGTCTGTTAGGTCATTTATCTAGCCATTTGTCAACATAAGAAACATTCAAACGTGTGAAGAATTTTTGTGAATTTATTTGAGCCAAACTGTCAACAATTGCCAGAAAACAAAATCTTGAATCTGGTTATCTGGAATTTTCTGTCAAGGCTGCTTCTGGCGGAGGTTGAAACTGCAATTAGATAAGGTATTAAATCTAGGTTTGGTATCATGGGCTTTTAGCACAAGTAATAGCATTTGGGGCCTGTGGTTCACAGTAGATAGTTTCTTTTTTAACTTATCTTTATTGTTGAAAGTATTACAGATGTCCTCATTTTTCCCCCCATTGACCCTCTCCATCCCACTCCTGCCAGTCTCCTCAAGCATTCACTGCACTGTTGCCTGTGTCCATGGTTATGCATATATGCATATAAGTTCTTCGTTTAATCTCTTCTGCCCCCCTTCCCTTTAAAAGTTATAATTTTATACTGTAGTGATTCTGTAGCTCTAGATTGTGAGATCATGAGGGCAAGAACTCTGATTCATGCTTTGTCCCTTGCAATTATTTAGTCCACAACAAATATTTAATAAATATACTTATGAAGTCTGAGCCCACTATGACATTCTTATTCATAGATACGAAGTATTTTATAACAGGGCTCAATAACTTTCTTTTTTTGGTTATTCCTCACCCAACGCTATTTTTTCTATTGATTTTTAGAGAGAGTGGAAGAGAGGAGGGGAGAAGAAAGAAACACATCAATGTGAGACATAGATTGGTTACCTCCCTTGCACCAGGTCCCAGGATCGAACCTGCAACCCAGGTATGTGCCCTTGATTGGGAGTCAAACCCAAGACACTTCTGGGCTGACGCTTTAACCAGAGCCACACTGAATAACTTTTTAAATGGAAGAAATTCTCAATATTTTGGTAGTGATAAACAAAAACTATCAGGGGCAGAAATATTAATCATGCTGTTAACCATGATTGTTCTATTCTGATTGGAGAAAGCACATTCTAAATGGCTGAGAGTTGTACACCCTGGGACATGGGAGTTAACCTGGGAATGCGGTCCATTCATCAAAGAATTAACAACCGAGTTGAAACAGTAGAGTCCACCCTTCCAAACCCCCGAATTTGCCTGTAACTAGTAATCATTATACCCATTCTTATTCCTTTTGCCTACTTCCCCATGCCTCTAACTCCTTTTGCCCACTTTCCCATGTAATTTTTGTCCTTCTAACCAACAAAAGCAGAGCAGATTTTCATGGATGACCTGCTGCTCTCCCATACTGTGGCATTATTAGAATAAACACTCATATGATTCAACTCAGTCTCTGCTTAATTGGATCAAGTAGTGATAGGCAGCCCGGATCCATCAGTCCCAGCCCAGATCCATTGGTTGTCCAGTTTCAAAACCATGACCATTACCTGACCGGCATGCTCAGTGGTTGGATGTTGACCTATGAACCAGGAGGTCACTGTTCGATTCCCAGTCAGGGCACATGCCGGGTTGCAGTCTCAATCCCCAGTGGGGGATGTGCAGGAGGCAGCTGATCAGTGATTCTCTCTCATAATTGATGTTTCTCTCTCTCTCCCTCTTCCTCTCTGAAATCAATAAAAAATATATTAAAAGAAAAAGACAACCTTGACCACCTCTCCCTCCCCTCCCACTCCTCTCTCAATATAAATTTGAGCAAAATTGAAACATTTCAGGGATGTTAAAAATACCAATTCTTTTACCCTTTCTCATTTAAATTAGGATCTCTGGGGTGGAACCTTTTTAAAAGCTCACCAGATATAATTTCAATATGCATGGTGGGTGGGACCAACTGGACTAGAATTTACGGGATAATGGTATTTCCTCATTTAGGGAAACAGTGAGATTTGGCCCTTTAACATTTAAATTTACTTTTACAGACAAAAATAAATGAAATCCTTAAGAAAGAGGGCACTTGCTCCAGTGATATCCTTGTTATTCACTGGAGGCTGTAAGGCCAGCAGGACCTCATTCTAGTATTAAGCAATTAAATAACAGCTTTCCCCCCTATACCCTTGTGTGTTTGTTAATCCATGTGTGGTAGAACCCGTTGAAATACTTGCTTCCCCCCAAAAGGAAGTTTTCCAGTTTGGACACACAGTTTTCTTAAAAAGGATTACTATGAGCTTGAAAAAAATTTTTTAAGCGTATTGCAGAAATGTTCTTGATGTAAGAAGCGTCTTCTCTCCATTTTAAGGATGAAATGTGGACAGCTGAACTCAAACTCGTCTATGGAGTATTTACATAACTAGGTAACTTAGAAAACTACAATCACAACAGAGTTGCTCGGAAGTCTCCTTTTACAAGAAATCTCTACTATTTAATGACACCTGCCGTCCTTTTAGGACCCAGCGGAAGCGCAGGTGTTCTCTAGGCTGGGGACAGACGCGAGGCCGGCGGGACAAGCCTCCGCCGCGGTTCCTCTCTCCTAGAGTACTTGCAGTCCCTCGCGCTGCCGTCTAAATTGCTGATGCACCCCCTTCCCCATCTCCACTCTAAATCAGCTTTTCGAGGAGAACCCAATCTGATCGTTGGCAACCACTGATCCCCACCTCCACCTCTAAACGATCTTCCGTTTAGAGCACACCGGGAACTAGTCTTTTCCAATACTTCTCATTTTCCTTCCGGGTCAGGCCAGTCCGGCCTGTGTTCCGGTCTTGCGCACTAGGTTCCGAGCGCGAGGCCGGCGGCACCGTTGCCATGGTAGCGGGTGGTGGGGAGCTAGTGAGACCCGCGGCCAAAATAGAACTGGGACTACGCGGGGCCGGACCTTCGGGACCACAGAATGGGCTGAGGCGGTGGCGGCTGCCCGGACGAGGTCGTCCGCCGGGCGTAGGGTGCGACACTGACCCGGGACCCTAAGCTATCTGCTTTGAGGAGTGGGCTGGACCGAGGTTTTCTTGGGTCCCGGGGACTGACCTGCGGGCCACTGCAGTATTGCGGAACCTCTTATTTGACCGGC